ACGCAGATGATCCTCGGCGGGGGCGTGGCTTTTGGGGGACACCCCGACATTCAGGGGGGGTCCTCAGGTACCCAGGTGAAGCACCCAGGTGTGAAGGGACCCCCCCCCCCTCCCCAAATTACCTCGGGAGAGGAGGCAGCGCAGGTAGACCCAGGCACTCTGGTCTGTGGGGTCGGTGAAGACGGCGTTCTGCACCAGCTCCAGCTCTGGGAGGGGCAAAGAGGGGACCCCAATATCTCAGGGGGGCACCCAGGGGGTCCTGGGGGGACACCTCAATATCTGAGGGGGGCCACCCAGGCATCTTGGGGAGGGTGTGTGGGAGCTCAGGTCTACCCAGTCAAGTCTATGGGGTTGGGGGGGACCCAAGGGTTTTGTGGGGGGACCCCAGGGGCATTTGAGGGGGCTCTGGTGAACCCCCACAATGTTTGGGGGAGTGATGGGGGGAACCCCAAGATCAGAGTCATCAGGTCTACCCTTTAAAGTAAATGGGGACAAATAAGACATCAGGTCTACCCATGGAAGTCAATGGGGCAAATGGGATATCAGGTCTACCCATGGAAGTCAATGGGGACAAATAAGACATCAGGTCTACCCATTGAAGTCAATGGGGCAAACGAGCATCAGGTCTACCCATTAAAGTCAATGGAGTAAATAGGACATCAGGTCTACCCATTGGAGTCAACGGAGCAAACTGGATATCAGGTCTACCCATTAAAGTCAACCGGGAAAAGGAGACATCAGGTCTACCCATTAAAGTCTATGGGGATAAATGAGACATCAGGTCTACCCATTAAAGTCAATGGGGCAAATACAACATCAGGTCTACCCGTTAAAGTCAATGGGGATAAATGAGACATCAGGTCTACCCATTAAAGTCAATGGAGCAAATAGGACATCAGGTCTACCCATTAAAGTCAATAGGGCAAATACAACATCAAGTCTACCCGTTAAAATCAATGGGGATAAATGAGACATCAGGTCTACCCATTAAACGCAATGGGGCAAACAGGACATCAGGTCTACCCATTAAAGTCAATGGGGCAAATGGGACATCAGGTCTACCCATTAAAGTCAATGGGGCAAACGAGACATCAGGTCTACATATTAAACTCAATGGGGATCAATAAGATATCAGGTCTGCCCATTAAAGTTAACAGGGGCAAATAGGACATCAGGTCTACCCATTAAAATCAATGGGGACAAATAAGACATCAGGTCTACCCATTGGAGTCAATGGGGCAAATAGGACATCAGGTCTACCCATTGGAGTCAATGGGGCAAATGGGACGTCAGGTCTATCCATTAAAATCAATGGGGCAAACGGGATATCAGGTCTACCCATTAAAGTCAATGGGGATAAATGAGACATCAGGTCTACCCATTGGAATCAATGGGTCAAACTGGACACCAGGTCTACCCATTAAACCCAATGGGGAACACCCGACAACAGGTCTACCCATTAAACCCCAACCACGACAA